GTGTATCAGAAAGGATATGACTAAGATGGGGAAAAAAGATTTTAAGTTTTAAGTAACATATCAGCTAATTTCTCAAAGTCTTTAACTTCGAACTAAAAAGACATACCTGGGACTGAAACATAGAAACCAATATGGTAACGGTTCTCATGATGCTGTGACAAGTAAGCAGCTTGTCCCATATATGCCAATATTAGTGCTGGATAGACCAGAAAGGTAAAGGCAATCTGCAACCAGATAAGGTAAGAATTACTTAAGCAGCTCAAACATCCACATGAAAGAAAAGAAACTACTGGCCGACAAAATCTAGAAAAGACAGATACTAATCAAATACCTGAATTGCAGTGTAAGAGAAATGGCCAAGATCAGCAAACATTGCCTCCGAGCCTGCACATAGAATCAAAAGCATTAGTTATACTTGATCATTACGTTACATGAGAGTTAACTGATCTGCCTGGTACTAAACAAACCTGTTATGCACAACAATATTCCACCCAAAGACATCCATCCACTTCTCCTGGTCTTTTTCAAGAACTTGAACATGTAATATGGAGAAAGTGCTTGATAGACATTTGGATTCCAGTAGATTATATTATAGATACCAAGGGCACTGATGCATAATAGCCACATCAAAACAATTGGTGCAAAGAAAAACCCTACTCGATGTGTACCATAGTGTTGAAGCGCAAAGAGACACGCTAAAATGAAGCAGGTGATTGGAATTACAGCATCTGCAACGATTAGAAAAGTAAGGATCAAAAACAAAATATTTAAAGCAAAATTGTTGTTCATTTGCTTGAGAAGTTATATAGTACCCAACTGGGGCCACTATACCCTTAGGAACCTCCTCCATTCCAACAAATTCATTGCTTGCATTTTGTCAATTTAGCTAATGTAAAAAGCTACCCTATTAACATGCTGCTCAACATGGCTGCAAGAGAAAAGTTCAAAATTTATAACCGGTTTAACCAAAGCACGTGTATATTATACAGGGGAAAAACACACAGTTACGAATACTCTCAAATGCCATGAAGGCAGGAACATTGTATGCCACATTGTCTATTAAAGAGATCCAATTAACATCATAGGCAGTTTGGCAAGAAGGAGATTCAATTTACAAGACCAATTTTTTATACTATTCTCTAATTCTGGCTATAGCTTTTCCTTCACTAAGGGATATAAATGGCAAAAAGTGCATTTTGTAATAATTCAAGTACAAACCAGATATTAATCTGAGGTCATTTAGAGCCAAATAATTCAATGTATAGCCACTAGTATGAATAGATGAAAGGCCTAAACATACTCTGAGCTAACCTCGATGAGAAATTGGTTCTTAACCTAGCAATCAATGATCAAAGCAATATCTTTCTTTGTCCTTTAAAAATGATACATACATTTTAAACCATGCACCTTATGATAATCTTTTAGTTGTTCTCCAGGATTTTGATAACTTGAGATTATGCTTGAGTTTTTCCCAAGTATACTGACTAGCAGCTTCCTTTTCCAGTTAAAAACAATAGAGTGATAGGACAAACAATAAACACGGTAGTATCGCTTTTTCAACCATACCGCGAAAACAGTTTCTCTATGCCAATAAAAAAGCTTATCAGATCAAGAAGAGAAGTGGATAGAGAATTTTAGGCGACAACATGAGCAATTTACATGGTCCCTTCACTTTAGGTCAACCAACTCTTTTTCTAGTAACCAGTCCTAAAGACAAGAATGCCAAACCCATTATCCGTTATTGCTGTGGATGACCAAAAGGAAAACAATGTTATTGTTTTCCCAACCGTGTAAGCACAATCACAGGCCAGGATTTTATGAAAGAAAAGACTTGACTCTCTCCTAGTCAATCTTCTTCTCTTCCTTTGCACTAAACAGCATTAAAGCTTTTACTCTTATAAAAATCGTCATTTGTACCAAACAGTGGAAGTCATGACCATGAAAGCAGGATATGTCGTTATACTGCTAGCTTTAAGCAACTAAAAGTACTAAAGATATAAGAACAACTACAAACTGAGAAGCTTACATTCGTGATGTTGCTTAGACATCGATAGCTCAAGACCAGATACTGCAGAGAAAACTACAAGAGAAACAGAACTTTTCAGTCACCAAGTTGTGATTAAGAGGAAACATTAAAAAGTAAATCATGTGTGCTGGTTTTCAGTGTACCTGAAATAGCTGGAGTAAGCAGTCCATCTCCAATCACCATACAAGTGCCAAGAAGAACCAAGATTAGCAGAGCAGTATGCAGGAACTTACTCTTCTCCAGGTACCCTTTGACCTTTGAACTGTTTTTGGTTTCTGGCGGGTGCTCCAGTTTATATGTTGACAGTGCTTCATCAGCAACTTGTCTGTTGGGCAGTAGGCTGACTTTAACATGCCGGCATATCAATGAGTATAATGCAAAAGTACCACCTGCAAACTTAGGCAAAAGGCTTCAATTTTAATTGAATGAACCAATTAAGGTAGACGGCATAAAATTATTCAGTGACTAATGCCTACCTTCTCCATTATCATCAGCTCGAAGGACAACAAAGACATACTTGAACAACGGGACTAACGTAAGAGTCCAGAAGACAAAAGATAAAACACCAAATATCTCTTCATTTGTCTCTGAATGTTGAATATCTTCTGCAAAGGTGCTCTTATAAACATAAAGTGGAGAAATTCCCAAATCTCCATAGACCACACCAAGGCTTTGATAAGCTAAAAGCAACACTGTCTTCCAAGATTCCTTCTGAAATGCAGTTCAATAAGCATGGCAGCTGTTTTAGTAACCAGCTTAATTATAAAATTTCTGAGCTATAAGGGTAAACAATCAACTAATAATTGATTCTAGGCGTAAACTTTGAAACTAGTAATGCCTGAATGCAAATGATAACAAAATCCAAGCACATACCTTGGAAGAATCTGGACACTTCTTATAGTCTAGATCCATGGCTGCTATGCTTCAATAAGCTAAATGAATTTCTTGTTTTTCTAAGGAGCCAAGCTGAATTCTTATTGATAAACCCAGTAAAGCTTCAGATCTGCACTGAAACAAAATAACAGTTGGTTGCAGACTCGAAAAGAAAGAAGTTTCAAGAAAACAAAATGAAGGGCTTTCATCATGATGAAACTTAATGAATATCCATAAGTCTATTGACACAATTGAAGGAATAAAAAGCCTTAAGCAGGTCACATGCCATCCATAACTCTATCACATCCCCACCAAACTCATAAAAAACTGAGCACATGTTTCTCCTAAAAAATTTCACAAATTTGAAGAAGGAAGTAGAAAACCAACCAGCACCCAAATCCCAACTACTGATGAAAATTTAAACTCACCAGGAAAATATCAAAAAAGATAAAAAAATTCAGCACCATAAAAAGAAACAATCAGCTATAGGCCCTATATGTATAGAAAGGGCCCCCCCTCATTTATTACCTCTGCAATTATTTTTTACATAATTAGTACTTTCTTTTATTGCCTTTTTGTTTTTCCTCTTCCTGGAAAAAGGCAAGAACAAACAAATGCTTCACTGTTTCTTGCCTACAGTTGAAGCAAAAGCCAAGAGGCACAACACGGAAGGTGCACATTAGTCCACAAGAGACGAAGTAGGAGAAGATAATAACAACAAGGAATTCTTCAATAACTGTTGCAGATACACGGGAATATATATTATATAGATATATACGTGTATAACTGTATATACATATGAAGAGTGACAGGTTTTCTGAAACCGTTTTCTTCTATTTTAACAGGAAAATGATCAGGAGGAACAGTAGAACGACAACGGAAAAACACAATCACGTGATTCAACGACGGTTACATTTGGAAAAGGAAAAACGATCAGAAATCAATAAAAGCAGAAGCCACGATTGATGCCCCCACAGAAGATATGGTCTAATTTATTATACTACGCTGTCACGATACCCTACACAAACCAACACATATACCACACTCACTCTCTATCTTTCTTTACGTGCATTGAGAAACCTATAAGACTAATACAGTACATGAAGCTAACCCTTTCAAGATCTCCGTTTTGCTTGAAGAAACTTGAGAGCGTGTTACTGGATAGATTTTTTCATAGCATCCAAAGTTAAAGGCGTTTGATGGCAAGCAACTCAACAGAAAAAAGGTGGGAAGAAGAAAGAAATGTAAGGGAAATAATTACGTAAATTCCAAGAAGGGAAAATCCTACATCTTTTTAGTTACGCAGCTAAATGAGAGTGGGGCTCCATAAAAGTTTCATCGATAAGGAGATTAAGAAACTCCCAAGAAAAGAAGCAACTTGGTGAGAGAGAGATAAGAAATGGGGACTGCCTAGACGGGCATACCCATGTGAAGCGCAAAAACCCACCAGAGGTTGGACGTGGGTTTTTTTGCAGAATCACCAGCTTTTCCTCATCCAAGCTCCTTTATGACCCCATTAAAGCTCAGCTTTTTTTCTGTTTGCTTGTACCCATTTATGACTCCTTTTGTCTTTTTCAAATTATTTTAACAATAAAGCTTTTTTCTTGCATCATTACCTCTTGTCATGTTACTGGCATTAGCTACAGGATGATCAGTGATCACCCCCCCAAATTTTGCTTACTGCAGTGCATTAATTGGTAGAATATGATTATATAAACCAAACCCAGAAAAAAAAAATCCTGCAGTAGTGCCATAAAAAGCAGAATTTGCAGTACCAAAAGCATCAAAGTTGAACTATGAACAAAGAAAGAGCTCCATAGGATGTTCATTAAGCTGTAATAAAGTTCTCACCTTGATTTCTCTTCATAAAACTCAGTTGTTTGCTTTGAACTTCTTGCTGGTAATAAAATGGATTCTCATATTGTTAGATCTACACGACAATTTATAGAACCAAGAATTAAATGTGAAGATACCATATGTGAATTGTATATAGAAATGGAACAAAAAAAAGTGTTCCTTTTTTGGTTTTTGGAGGGATTTTGAAGGTTAAATGAACAGAGCAGAAGCTGTAAGTTTTTTAAGGTGTGTACCAACCGACATTAGCGAATGTTGCTCGTGAAGAGAATAAATTTAGAGAGAAACAGAAACTGTATAAATTTCTTGTTGAGGGAGATTTAAAAATAAAGAAGAAGAGAACGTGGGTTACATGTTTGAGGTAATGATTCCGTGGAGAAGTGAATCAAAATTTAATATTTTTAAATAATCACAGGAGGGATTAAAAGTGTGCATTTAAAAAAGTGTTGTCTTTATATTCTTGATTCTTCTTTTCTTTTCCCCCTTGCATTACATGGTATGGTGCCGGTATATTTTGACCATGTGGATTGAAGGAATGTCTTTTTCCCAAGCACTCGTGGCAAAGCAGCCATGGAATTTGAGAGAGTGCTTTTGACGAAGAAAACCCAGATAATTAAGGATATTTATGGAAAACTACTATAAATATTGTGGAATATATTTATAAATCTACACCCAACTAATCATAAAATGCATTCGTTTAATTTTTTTGTGGAATTCCATATAAATTTATGTTCATCATTTTGTGGAGAACTTTTACCGTCTTGTAACTTAATTAAGTACCAACTTACAAATAAATTTCGTAAAGGTTTTCAATTTATTGCAAATATAATCTAAAGCTTCGTTAACGAGATTGTTCATGCAAACACAAAAGTTCAAAAATTTGAAGCACCCAAATCCAAATTGGAAACTTGAGTTGAAATTTGAAAAAGAAAAGGTGAAGCATAATTCTAAAAGTGCAGACTTTCTTTTTTTATTAGTTAGTAATTCACAAGAAAATATTTTTATAGCCAGAAATTGACCGGACAAAGAAGATCTTAATTTGAGCAATGGGGTTCGAGGATAAAACTTGTAACCGGAGCTTTTGGCACTCTGAGAAAATCCAGATTGTAGGGCACTTGTGGTGTAAGAAGAACAAGAAGGTGGGATTGGGTGGCCAAGAGGCGGTTGAGATTTCATTTCACATTGATAACTTCAAACTCACAGACAGCATAGCAGCCATGACCCATGTGCTCATTGTTTTTTTTACCCAAGTATCCATTTTACCCCATAAGGTATGAGATAAGCTTTAACTTTTTCACAATACACAGATTTTCTTGAACTACGTATAAGATATTTTGATTTAATACATAGATTTTTTGTGTGTGGTAGAAATAAAGAGATGATGCATTTTGAACACCATCTCGAGACAATCAAATTTGAGTGATTTTGTCCAAAATGTTGACTTGCTTTTAGTAGACAAGAATAAAAAAAAAGACAAAAACTTGGTTAGTGGAAGAATAATGTAGACCGAACTTTAGTGATTGAACTTAGGAAATCAATTTCCTTCTCGTGCTTTCGATTCTTTGATTTTAAGTTTCAATCTCTATGGTGGGCATACAATCAATCAATTATATTCTTAACAAATCATATTTTCTCAGTGTTTTAAAAGAAGTCAACTTATGAAATAAATTTAAATAATTAATGCTAAAATTATATTATAATATAACCTAAAACTATATATAATATTATTAATTAACAAATTAATTAATTATAAATTTTTTTATATAGTCGACTAATGATGAATTAATCTCTTAATAATAATTTTTTAAAATTTAGATTGTGCCTTTTGTTTTTGTTTTTTTTTTAAATTTTAAATCACTACAAAAATTTCATTCATTAAATCATAATGATGACAAGAAAAAAAATTAAAAAAAAAAGTATTATGGTGAAGGTGAATGAATTAACAAAGAGAGTTTTTGTTTAGACATCATAATTAATTTTATTTGTAGCATTATTACTAAGAATTATATAAAGAAATATACGAGTATTTTAATTTATATAATTTTTATTTAAAAAATAACATTAAGCATTTGCATAAAAAATTTAATTATAAAATACAATTAATTTTAAATAATAAATATATGTATTCATTACAAATATTTTTTATTTAATTATATATTTTTATTATTAAGTGAATTTTAAATTAGAAATTAATATTTTATAAAACTTACTAATAAGTATTTCATGCAATCAACAACAACAACAACAAAAAAAAAAAAAAAAAACCCTTTGTCTAAATTAACTAACTTTGTTTGCTAAAATTATCTGACAATACGGATCGATTACGTCGCTTATATTTTATAAAATATATCTATTTATAAATCTGATCATATTAAAATTCGTCAAAAAATAATAGTTGGGCAAACAATCCCTAAACCCTAAAGATGCTCCAAAATCCTTTCGGTTATTTGTTCGAGAACTACAATCTTCGGAACATTGTTTTTTCTTTTTTTACACCAAATACAAATACTAGAGAAAAAAATATATTTAAATTTATTTATAAATATGAGCCCATTTAAGGACTTTTAACGGCCCATCTTGAAAATTTGGGCCCTCAGCTTGATTTTCTTAGTAAAAGATTATAGGGCCCATTATTACAAACTTTGAAGTGATGTTATGAGACTGATTCTATCAAACTATTTTGTTTTTATTTAAAATTAAATTGCAGAGATACACAAACACACATACATATATGTGTGTGTGTGTGTGTATATGTATACCAGCAACAGAATATTAGTCGTGCACTTATATATTAAAAGATCAAAGAATATACAGACTGAGGTTTTTGGCACGGTGCCTTGAAGTTATTGAATACAAAGAGAGCAGAAAAACAATGTTGTGAAGCACGAGTCTGTGTCTTGGATTGCGCAAGTCTTGTGTCAGCTTTACAACATACCCGACGTTGCCATGCATGGACCACACATATAATATATTAATATGTAGTGTTGTCAACTGCTATGATTACTGACCATTCACTAATACATAAATATATGACATATAAACAATTTTCTTCACGCATATTAATCATTTTGTCACGTATATATAATCATGTACATAAATATATATATATAAGATTGACCAATAATATTGCTTGGTGCATGCTTGGCAAGGCGGAAACATTTGAAGATGATATTACATATACGAAGCATACATGATATATCTGAATGTGTTTTTTAAGTGTTTATATATATATATATATGTATGATTATATAAATAAGAAGTTTACCGTGGCTTTATCAGCAAGGAAATAAAAGTAAATCAAGCATGCATGAGGAGAGAGCATCACGGTAATTATATACAATGATGCTAATTTGTCAATATATAGATCATGGTTCAAGTAGTGGGACTATATATATATATATATATATATATATATGTATGTATAAAACATCAAACCATTTTGCAGGGGCATATAGCCAGTAGGGGCCACCAACCTCAGATATTCAAAGCAGTTCTCACCATACCTACCTCGCTCAAGCCCAATCCAAACTTGGAACTTATTAAATTAATTTTATTATACGTATATATATATGTATGTAATAGAACCAGCAGAAGTTTTTGTATATGCGTCTGTACAAGAATTTTTTCTTCAATATGGTAGGTAGGAAGCATATATTTACATTCATGTAAATATTCATGGACGTATTATAAACTGAATACTTATTTGCTGTGATCGCCAATTGATATGTTTATGCATATATAGTATGACAAGGAGATGAAAGTGTTTATACATGTATAAATATGTATACAAAAAGAAACAAACAAAACAAAAAAGGTATACATTTGAGTAGTAGCAATACATATTCAAGAAGAACAATTAATATTCATGTACTTAAATATATATGATGCCCCAAAACCAAGAGACGTAACCAAACATATATATATATATATATATATATAATGAGAAATAAAGTTGATGAAGAGGTAGGATGATATCAGTGACCAACACCAGGGCTTGGAACATCACCTTGTCTTCTGTAGGAATAATCGTAATCATAATCTCCAGGAACACTCGAGTTATAATCTCCCATCTCCATCACCTTCTCTACTCTTCCTCCTCTTCTTCCTCCTTGCAACTGGCATGACGATGACGATGACGATGACGATGACGATGATGACGACGACGACGACGACGACGACGACCTCGACCTCCCATTCCGAACAATACCATTACATGGACTAGTACTGCTGATCAAAACCCTAGCACCACTGCCCATATTTTTGGATTCAAACACCAAACAGAGTAATATAACTACTCCTGTAGTCACGAAAGCTCTTCTAAGAGAATTTCTAGCCATTTCCACGTTCTTTTCTTCCTTTTTCTGGGTTAAGAGAGAGAGAGAGAGAGAGAAGATGAAGTTTTGAAGGGGGTCTAGGCTATGGTTTACATATGTGTATATATATGCTTTATACTTATAGAGAAATGGTGTTTAGGTGCCATCATTTAGCAGAAAGGTAATAATTTTGTATTATATACATTTATAGACTCATTTATATTGTGGGTGCAAATATTGGTGAGCATGCATATGATCATAACAGGGGATTTGTATTATTAAATTCTTGTTGTAATACTGAACCAATTAATTATGTATACAATTCTAAGTGCAGGAATCATAGTCGTATTGCTTTTACATGACTTTTAACCTTTATTTCTTTAATGTTCTTTTACATATAAAAAATAAAAAAAAAAAATAAATTAGTATTAATATTTTTTAACCTACATTATTTTTTTAGAACCGACTTTAATAAATTATTAATAAAAATAAAATAAAATAATAAGTGATTATACTTTAAAAGAAAATACAATAAATATAAAATTTTTGTAACACAAACAATGAAAATTTGAAAATATAGTATAAAGTAAATAATAAGAAAAATTAATATATATATATATATATATATAACAATTGAATCGAATATTACTTAAGTTTTCTCCCTGAGTTCATGAAATTAGCAAACAGATACGATATATATATACACAAAGGAGATCAACGTAAGCATGAGACATGCAATCAGCTCCAATCAAAGTGATCTACATAAGCCTTTTATATATAATGCTAATACCAAAGCAGCCTCGCACAAATATATACCAGAACCTGCCCACTAACTGATGTACATATATATATATATATATATATATATAAGATTACTAGACTATTATCAACTCTGAACTTCTAAAGGATAAACATGACTTACAAAAAAAAAATGCAAATGGATGAATGGGGTCATCGTGTTCATTTGTCTGCAGAACTTTTCCACACCCTTCATTAACTTTTAGACTT